AGCTCGGATCCCTGGGCGCCGCCCTCGCGTTCGCCACCGACCGCGGTCCGCCCCTGTGCCCGACCGCGCGCGCCCACCAGCGCTCCACCACTGCCCCTCTGCCACCACCCCTCGGTCCTGGCTCGGCGCCCCTGGGCTCGGGCTCCCCGCGCCACCGCGGCGGGCGCCGGCTCTTTCTCCAGCGCTGCCGCGGCTCTCCGCCCCCTCCCCCCTGACGTCAGGCGGGGGGGTCGAGCGGAGGCCGGGGGCGGGACGCGAAGGCCAGCTCAGGAGGGGGCTGCGACCCGCCACGACCCGCGGGCCCGCCCGCTCTCCGCAGGGGGGGCTCGGGCCTCTGTCCCTCCTGGTGCCCAGCCGCCCCGCGTCTCGGAGTCGCGGTCTGCGCCACAGCGCCTGGAGGGAGGTGGGGCGGGGAAGGGACTCCTGGCATTGCCATGGCTGAATCGGACTCACCCGTTCTTTCCAAAGTGTTCCTGGTAGACCTAGGGCGGGCTCGGGAATCGGGCTTGACGCTCCAGTTACTGCAACGAACGTGGGCCAGCCACCTCGGGGCGATTATCCGGGGGAGGAACGCTGGGGAAACCGAGGCTTCTCTTCTGGGCAGACGAGAGAAGTCTGTCTTGTGGCCCCAAATTCTGCCTTCTTTCTTGGCCCCAACGCCACTGATTCCTGCCCTCAGACTAGCCTTACCAGCCAGGAAGACCCTCAAGTCTCCGGAGACAATCTGAGCCTGTTTCTCACGCTCCGGGCAGAGCCTACCCCCAGAAAATGACTCCTTCTGGTGCCACTGGAAGGCTGATTAACAAGCGGCACGAGCCCTAATGTTCAGATGAAAGGGGCTGGGGAGAGCCACGCGGGAGCACCGGCTCCTTCAGAACCTCCAGCCTCCGCCCACAGCGGCTCCTAGAAGTAACTTGTAGCTCATGCCTTATGGGCGGTGCTGGGGTGTCCTCCTTCCTGCCAGCTGGTCTTGGGAGCTGGGGAGGTGGACAGAAAGCCTCAGGGAAGACACCCCAACGGGCACTTGAGGACAAATGCCACCTCCTGGCTAGGCGCAAAGGGCAGGGGTGAAGGGACTTGAGGCCCTGAGGCTTGGATGGTACTTTAAGCCAGGGTGCAGTCCTGGAGGGGAGGAACACTTTAGGCCCTGTCAGCAGATCTGGACTGATTTATAAATCAGTCCCGACAGCAGCTTTTGTTCTGGTTTAAAACTTGGCATCTGAAAAGTGGAGACCAGAAGAGTAGTGGAGATAATTGAGAAAAGCAGCCCATTTTGGTTTCAGTAACAATTGGGTCTTTGCTGGTACACATAAAGGCCCCTTCTCCTTTGCTGGCCAAAGCCACATTTCCCAGCTCCTTTCTGCTAGAAAAAAAGCTGTGGCCTTGGAGATGCTGGAGATAACAGTCACCACGGGTGGGCAGGGAAGGCCGTGCTTCAGCTGACAGGGAGGGAGAGAGAAGATGGGCGGACTCTGACCCTGTGTCTAAGTGGGGCAAACTGGCATGCAAATACCTTCACTTTATTTTTTTTTTGAGACAAGGTCTTGCTCTGTCACCCCAGTTAGAGTGTAGTGGCATCATCATAGCTCACTGCAGCCTCAAACTCCTGGGCTCAAGCAATGCACACAGTCTACCATGGCCAGCTAATATTTCCATTTTTGGTAGAGACGTGGTCTCACTCTTGCTCAGGCTGAGCTCAAACTCTTGATCTCAAGCGACCCTCCCACCTTGGCCTCCCAAAGTGCTAGGATTACAGGTTTGAGCCACTGAGCCTGGCCTGTGCCCCTCACATTTGTTCTGGGCTATAGACTTTGTAACCTGCCTTCACATACATTTTCTCACTCTACCCTCATGACCACCCTTTAAAAAATAGATATTGTTTTTTCACCTTTTATAGATGAGTCTCAGAAAGTTTAAGCAGCTGGCCCTAAGTCTCCTAGATAATAAGGAAAGTCAGAATTTTAACTCATGTCTTGGGACTCCCAATTCTGTCTTTTTTTCCATGCAGTCACTACATATCCTAACAGTGCCCAATTCTGTCTTTCCATGAAGTCACCATATATCCTGACAGCACTCTGTTTCCTGCTGTTTTTCTTCACCTTCAAGACTTAGCCCCAGCCTCTAGGTGTGAGGGTTAGCAGGCAGAGACCTGAGCTCCCTGGCTTTACCTCCAACGTGGCCCCAGTGGAAAGTTTCAAAAGGCGGTTTGGTTTCGCTGGCAGGTACAGTCTTCTTGTGCACCTCAGTGGCAGGCTTCGGTTCCGGTTCCAGAGGGCCAGTTATGTAGAACCGTAGAACCCCCCCAGCTGACAGACTGCAGAGCAATCCCTCCCAATCGCTCCTCAGAGATAAGGTTGCAGGTCCCCCTCCCCTTTTCCACCTTCCTGCATTTCTCTATTCTGTTCATTCTCAGCACTGGCCTTTTCCATGGGTGGGTGGGCAGAGGATAAAGTTTCCTGCATGACTACTTGCTCATGATTCATACTTTTAAATAAAAGCACAACTGGCAGAAAAATGAGTATTCCCGGGTCTTCAATTGAGAAAAAAATTACTACTACAGGCGCAGGGTGGGGGTTGAGGGAGAAAGGCTCGTGTACCGGGCTAGTCTCCCTGGGCCTGCCTGGCATATCCTATGGGAGGTGCCCACCCTTCAGGACTCTGGTCTTCACAGACCCTCCATTTGCTCAACTGCTTGTGGCCAGGTCAAGGAAAGACAGAGACATGCTAGATGCTTCCCAAGGCTCTCCAGGGATCCACCGGCAGCTTAGGCTGGCGCAGAGAGATGGCCCAGGAGTCTCACTTGAAAAGCAAGTCTCCTCTCTCTCTTACACATTGGTCATGGGCCACAGTGCCCTTCATTTGAGCTACTCGCCTGCCAGCTCTCTTGAAGCAACTTTCTGGCAGGAGGAGGGCCTGGGCTGCCATTGGGTTCTACGGGCAATGCTGCCTCATTGATTTCCAAGGCAGCAGGAGCTGCTGTCAACCCACAGGTAGGGGAGTGAGAATGCTTGGGTCAGCCACCCTTCAGGGGTCTGAGGGCCGGAGGTGGGGTGGGGGTGACTGGGGACATAGGAAAAGGACTCTCCCTCTCTACTTCCTCCAAAAGGAGAGCTATCAAAGCCGTCCACCTGGGAAGCCTTTCCCTTCCCAGCCCCTCCCTGCCACCATGGCCAAAAGGAAACAGGAAAACATCCGTCATCACAGCCCCGGATGCCGCTTTTCCAGTGGCTCCTATCAGGATATCCCCAGCCTTTCCCCAGGGGTTAGGGATCTATCTGGAAAGGTCACAGACCTGGAGGGCATGTGGTAAAACTGCCAGCACCACTGTGGAATTCATGTCCCTGAGGAGGCTGAGTCTCTAACTGACCATAGACTAGTTTTAGGAGATCTGGTCAGCTCCCAGCCAGTCCCAGAGAGGGCCCATTACATGTCCCAGCGGATATCGTATGCCCTTGGATGACCTCACAGTGCACACCTCTGCTCAGGTTACAGCCGGGTCTCTTGAGGGACTGAGTTGTCACGGACACCTCCTCTCCTGGTGTCTATTTCTCTCATGGGGATGAGTATGTTAGGGAGCAGGGCAGGAGGGGGCAGTGTACAAGAGTCAGGACTGGGCAGGAAGGCTCCAGATGCCTATGCTGATGGACAGCTCGGGCGATCCCTTTCTCAGAGCCAGGTAGGGCCAGCTCGCCACCTGGAAACTCCCTGGTTCAGCCTCCAGGGTCTCCCTATTCCCTTCTTGCCCTTGGCAGTAAGAACAAAGAAGGGAAATTTCAAAGGTGATTTCCAGGTTTGGAGAGCAAACTGAATAGCTGAAGATTAACTGTCAGGATGTTCAGTGTCAGAAGCAGGGGCACCCTGAGGGAGGGTGAAGAAGCCTGGCTCACTAGACCCACGCTCTTTTATCGGATGATCTGAGGCTGAGCTGATGCTGCTGCAGCTCCAGTGGTGTGCCGGCCAAGTGGGCATGTGACATAGCCAGGAACAGAAACTGGAACTCTCAGTTAAGTTGCCTGGGCATCCAAGTCACCCTGGCCCACGGTTTCTTCCACCGCTCATTTGGCAAAGGCTGTGAGGCAGAAAGGTGTCCTGGGTGGTACCCAGCACTGTGTCGTGCATGTGCCCATGCCCTCTGAATAATAGATGCCCCCTACTCCTCGCATCTGAGGACCCAGGGAAGGAGGCAGCTGTGTCTGAGGCAGGCCCAGGAAGTAATGAGCTCCACTGTGGCACCTTGAGCCACTCAGTCTGAAGGTTCTTTATTTTGGGGAGGTCTCTCTCCTACTAAGTGGACACCTAGGAATGAGGAGTGGGTGTAGGCCAATTTGTCAGGGATAATTCTCTGCCACTTCCAAGCTACCATTTGTGTCCCCTGCAAAACCCCATTCCAACTCAGAAAGTCAGGAGGGGCCTGAGACTAACCATGGATTCTCAGGGTTGGGGGAGTAGGCAAAGTTGAGATCCAGGAGTCTCCTGGGGTACAGAGGGCCCACTCATTTCTCAAGGGGTTCAGGTCAAAGATACTCAGTACCCCATTAGGGATTGGGTCCCATGAACTGATCTGGGCAAGTCCGAGTGGAAGCAAAAGCAGATCCGGAACTGTCTTTTGTACCCGCCCACACTCACGAGTCTGGGGAGTTGATTTCAGAGCTCAGCAATAAATTGAATTAAGGGTAATTACAGGCCTGATCCACCATCTTGCTCTATGTATTCTCCCCAGCAGGGATGGGGAGGGGAGAGTGGTCCCAGACTGGGTCCAAACAAATGTTCCCCATCCCTGAGTTTCTGACAGCTCTCAGGCCACAGCCAGGCCACAGGGATAACTGCTCCTCCCTGGAGATTTGCAAACAGCCCTCTGTTGCAGGGGGCGGAGCCTGGGCCCTAGTCACGTAAGTAACTGTCAGAGGTGAGAACTCAGCAGAACTCTAGCAGAGATGCCAGGAGATTGGATGCTGGGCACAGCCCTCAGGACAGGGTTTGAAGGAAGTCTTCTTAACCACTGATGCTGAAATAAGACTTTAATGTGCACAAAGAAACCTCACATTAGTGACAGAGCGAGGGAGGAAGGAGGGTGGGGAGGACTGAGGCCCAGGAGGGCCCAGGAGGCCCAGGGAAACCAGAGCTATGGAGACAAAGGCCTTAGGGAAGAGGAGATGGCTGGGAGGGGAGGAGAGCTGAGGGTGGGCCAGGCAGGGAGAGGCATCCCTGGCAGGGGGCGGGCAGGGGCAGGGGCAGGGGCGGAGCAGGCTCTTGCTTCATCAGGCTGGTCAGCATCTGGCTCTCCTCTGGCCTTGATTTTTCGCTTCTTCCAGTTCCCTGAGCGCTGGTCACCGCCTGCTGAAGCCCAGAGCCCTGGGCTGTCCCAACCCTGCTCCTTTAGGTGTCTTTCCAGGGGCTAAAGTACTGGGCCTGTGGCAAGGAGAAAAATGGGCTGTGATGGTCTGGGCCCCACGGCTGCCCACTGCCCTGAAACTCCCTGGACTCGTGGCTTCCATCAACATCCATCACAGGCTCCCTCACTGAGTGAGCAGGACTCCTGGGGCTCGCAGCCCAGGAGAGGAGTGGCAGGTCAACAGGCCTGAACGGTCTGCCAGGGCCCCTTTACTCGCTGCCTGCAGGTGCAGGAAGTGTGAAAGGTGGTACCTGCCCCCACCAGGCTACGAATCACTTTTCCTTCTTTTCATGACAAACACACTGCTTCCCACCAGAGACTAGTGTGATCTAGTTCCCTGGGAATTGAGGGTGAGGTTTGCTCTCCAGCTTTCTCAGAGACTTGCGAAATCTGAGACCCAAGCCACAGCCTGTGGCCAATGTGTCAGCCCCAAGTCAGAGGTTACAGGGGAGGGACCAGAGAAGTCAGAGGAGAAGCAAGTTGACAGCTGAGGAGCACTGGGGCTGGGGAAGTGGCCCTGCTCATCTGTATCAAGGGCTGGGGGCTCAGGAAGGGAAGAGTCTCTAAGCCAGCCCAGCTGGTGCGGCTTGTTGGAGAGACTGAGGCAGAAGGGAGGATGCCAGAGCAGGGGCTGGACTGTGGCTAGGTCAGCGGGCTTGGGAGTCAGCTGGCTCTGGGCCTGATTCTGACATCTCTGCAAGCTGCCTTTGTGATGGGGCAAGCCATTTTTTTTTTTTTTTTTTTGAGACAGAGTCTCACTTTGTTGCCCAGGCTAGAGTGAGTGCCGTGGCATCAGCCTGGCTCACAGCAACCTCAATCTCCGGGGCTCAGCGATCCTACTGCCTCAGCCTCCCAAGTAGCTGGGACTACAGGCATGCGCCACCATGCCGGCTAATTTTTTTTTTTTGTATATATATTTTTAGTTGGTCAATTAATTTATTTCTATTTTTGGTAGAGACGGGGTCTCACTCAGGCTGGTTTCGAACTCCTGACCTTGAGCGATCCGCCCGCCTCAGCCTCCCAAAGTGCTAGGATTACAGGCGTGAGCCACCGCGCCCGGCTGGGGCAAGCCATTTTTATCCTCTCAGGGCCTCTGGTTAGTTTGCTCATCTATAAAATGGACTCCTAACAACCTGCCTCATGGGGGTTTATCTGGGTTCAAATAGAAAGGAGTCTTCATACAATAAATGTTAGCTATGAATAGTATTACCTTGGGGGGAGGGGCAGGGAAGCCTGGGAGCTTCCTCCTAACAGAGTAGGAGGCCAGCCTCAGGCCTGCAGCACAAGTGGGCAGAGGGTGGACAGCTGGTGCCTCTGGCGCCCCTTTCTGGCACCATTCATGACAAACTGGTACTCCTGGCCCAGGCTCTTCCCTTTATGGGGCTGCTTTTCCTTGCATTTGCTCAGGAGTAGACTTCTCTGTGTCCCCCAGACCCCACCCCAGCCTGCACACTGGCTTCTAGGTAAGAACGGTGAAGGTTCCCAGGCATCCTCACCCTGCCCCCACATCACCCTCTCCACCCGTGTGTTGGCCAGGAGCTCAGCAGCTGCAGTGGGGGTGGACACACTGCTGGCTTGGCCAGCCCTGCCTGACCACTTCCCTCTCCTCCCAGGTCTGGGGGCTGCAGGGGCACCACCTGGGGCTGGCAGTGGGCCAGCAGCTCCTGCCAACGGATGTAGGTCTGGGCAGCCAAGTCCTTGAGTCTGGTGCGGTGCATGGCCCGGGGGCTCTCCCTGATATGGGTGCTGATGTGGCGGTCCAGCTGCATGCACAGCAGCTGCAGCTCGCCCTGTGGAGGGAGAGGCCCAGGCTGTGGGGGAGGGTGCGGCATGCTGGGCACCGCCAAGGGGGGTCAGGAGCAAAAAGTCAGATTAGAAGAGGGGCATATTTGGGTGACTGCTCAGCAGCTGGGCAGGGAAACGAGGAGAGAGCCAGCACAACTGCTGGGGCATGGGTCAGTGTCCTTGGGGAATGGCCCATGGGACACTGTGGGGAGGAAGAGGCCATGGCTTCCTAGACTGGGTCCCTTCTCAGCCTCCCACTCTTTGCAGCTCCTGACAGTGGGTTGGGCTCCATCCCAGCCAACCGTACCCCACCTGACCCCACCCTAGCCTCTTGGGAGACTCACCCACTGGTCTGGAGTAATGTCCTGGCAGCTGACCACCACCCCGGCCAGTGTCAGGAGGCTGTGGCACAGGTAGCAGGCCTGGAGAGAGAGCACAGCAACGGCTGAGAGCCACTTCCCTAACTCCGCCCCAGGGCAGCACAGTGTCTACTCCTTCACCTGCAGATCCCGCTTTCAGCCCAGTGGCCCCCAGGCAGGGACAAAGCCCATCGCTCCACCTCCATCTTCAGGGAGGCCTGGGAGAGAAGGGCTCCAGGCCCACTCACTCAGCGCTGGGAATCCCCCCAGCAGGCTTTCCCAGCTTTCCCTCTGACGAAGTACTGTCCCTTCTTCAGTACTGCCATCTGGAAACCCACACTATCCTCCAACCTTGTCCTGGGGCTCCAGCAGAGAGAGCCCTCTGGGGAAGGGGCCACCCCCTCTGACCTCTGGGCAGTCTCTGTTCCCTGAGGCGCCCACACCCATGGACACTGCAACCAGGGCACCACTATCCCCCCAGCACCTCTGTGCAGACAGCAAAGGGAGCCCCTCTGGGGGGATGTGGCCCATGGGTACACAGTTCCTGCATTCTGCTTGCCCCCAGCGGAATGCCGCCCGCACAGCCACAGGCGCAGCCTGGCTGGACAGTCAGACCTGCCAACAGGAGGAGGCAGGTGAGGAGAGAGGAGTGGATGGGCGATGGTTTGGGTTAAGCATTGCACACCCTACCCACCAACGCCACCCTCATTCTTGCCCACCAGACACTCTCAGAGGTGAAAACAGGACACAGACCAACTCCATTTGATCACAGATGGTTTGATCCCAGGGTACCCGGATGCTGTTGTGTCATTTATGAGACATTTGCCTGCTGTTCAGAGAAAATGAGATACAGGTAGCATCCCAAAGGCAGATGAGGCTCCTGAGGAGAAGACAGTCTCCCCCTGGCACCCTAACTGCTGTCTGTGGGCAACCCTTCCCTCACTAAGAGGCCCCTGCTGCCTGTCCCCTTCGAATTCTTTACATCCAAGATCAGGGGGGTGGCAGCCCAAGGATAAGCAGAGGTGGGAGATGCAGGCTCTAGAGATGGCTGGCTGGTGAGAATAGGGCCAGAGCTCAGAACCAGCCCAGGGACCCTGTGCCCCGGCTTCCCTGCCTTGTCATCTCACCCTCTCAGAGTGCCGGGTGGGCCCAAGAAGCAGCAGCAACCTCTTTGCACAGACCCAGAAGCCTGCTTAGGACAGAAGTCAGAACTGTTTCTGAGGGCACTAGACTTGGCACTATCAACTGACTTCTTGGGCCCAAACACTACGGTGCAAATTCCCGAGGACAGAGGCCATCTGGGGTCCCCACCAGCTGCACCTGCCCTGCCTAGGCCCCAGCCTGCTCTGCAACACAACAGCAAAGGCCCACAGGTTACTTGACTCCATGGGCTGACCAGACCCAGTGGCCTTGCGCAAGGCAGGCACAGAGGAGACACAGTGCGGGTAGCCAGGTGGCTGCTGGGGGTGCCTCCAGGAGGGCTGCCCTGGGGTAGGGAAGACCCAGCCTCTCTGAGGCCCCGCTCCACCTGCTGGGGCCCTGCAGCTGCCTATGCACTGGGGGCCCGAGTCACCCGGCCAGGCTGGCTTGCTGGTGAGCCACTGCTTGTCCTGGGCATGGTGCTCGGTGCCTCCTTGGGCTTCCCTTCCCTCTAGCCTGTCCTTGCTCTAGGGAGGGTCCACAGCCTTTGGGACTCCTTCCAGCCTTTGCAGTCCTGGCAACAGTTCATTGGCCCCCTTCTTATAAAGCAGGCTCAGGCCTGTGTGCTAGACACTGCCATGACTAAGACACAAGGGCACACACAAGGGCATCAGAGGGAGAAAGAAGGCAATCATTTGGTGGTCAAAAAATACCGAACTTCAGCTTCCCCATTGACTGGAAGGAGAAAGAGTCTTTCTAGGGTTTGTTTGTGCTTTTTTTTTTTTTTCTTTTTGAGGTGGGAAATAAAACTTAGAGGCTGCAGGGAAGAAGTGACTAAGCTAAAGGGGGCCTCAGAGGAACAGTAGGATTTGAGGCAGAGATGGCCCTGTGGGGGTGGAGGCAGGAGATTACACCACCAGATGGATGGATCCCGAGGACTGATGCAAGAAACAGAGGCAGGGCACACTGGGGACCAGAGGCCAGGTGGGCGGGAGCAGGGGTGGGCGAGGGGCCACCTGGAGACAGGGTTGGCAGCAGAGAGTGTCGTGGGTGATGGAATGTGGCCATATCCCATATTGGTGGGGTGGAATATACCAGCGTGAAAACCAGGCTTGCTCTGGAAGAAAGAATTGCAGGATGTCCTACATCTTTCTTTTTATTTCTCTACAATGTGTGTGCTTTACTCGTATAATGAGAATACAATGAAAGTCAGTTTTTAAGGGAAATTTTAACAAGACACTGCCAATTATAACTGAATGAACCTAACTGGGTTTGGGGTGGGTGTGGGGCAAGGAAGAGGGACATGACCTTGAAGAGAAGCTGAGGCCCTTCCTTGAGAGGGTAAAGTGCCTGGCGCTGAGCAAGCTAATGGTGAGATGTGGCAGGGGATGCTGAAGACAATATCTAAGGGCCATGGGTCAGGTATTGAGGGGGGCTGGGGGAGGCACCCCAGGGCTGTCTGCAGGGAGGATGTGCTGGCCTGGGAGGGGAGAAGGGGGACTGGCACCTTCCAGACCTTTCACTGAGGGGCCCGGTTCACCAGTGGATGTCTCTGTATTACAGAGGCCTGGCTGTAGAACTTATCTTCCCAGGAGGAGGAGGAGGAGGAAGAGGTGGCAGTGGGGACGCAGCATCCTTGAGGTGGGGAGGGTGGATCTTAGGGTGGAGGCGAGCCCTGAGGAATACAGGGAGGAAAGCCTGTCAGCAGAATTTACCCCATGCAGTGGGGATTCACTGGTTTCACAACTTGGTTCTTATGCTGATTCCCATAATTGAATCTGCAGGGAAAATCCCAGGAAAACTACTCCAATGTGTTATTTTGGAAGGGGGGAGGGGCTGGGGATAGCAAGTAGGAAATGGTAGTCCTGAAGAAAAGGCCCGTTAACCACACTTAATAAGCTGCCTTTCCCAAAGGGAAAAAAATAAACCTGCCACTGCCTGGAGGCTGGGTGTATATTTTCCTCCCATTTGAGGGCGCTCCCTGTAGTTGGGCCTAGGTGAGGGGAGGCCCTTTAAAGAAGTCTTTGACCCAATTTAAAGGAATAATTTTCCACCTGTGGCCAGAAATCATGACAAAGCCTGCAGCTGTGCAGATCCTCTTCCTTGGAGCACCTCTGGGGGCTTGGCCAGAGCTGGGCATTCAGTGGAACTTTTGAAAAAAGGCTTCATTATTGGCATAGGAAGCTCCAGACTTCTATCTCCTTCTCTCGCCTTCCAGACAGAGGATGAAGACATCCCCACCACCTTCCCCCTACTCCTCCTCCGTTTGTGTGAAGGTCACAGGCACAAAACACCAGCAGAAACTGGGGGCTCTGTGGCCAGGAGCAGGCAGAAATGCCAGAGCAGGCCTGGAGCGCAGTTTGTGCAGCGGTGGGCCAGCGAGGGGCTGTTCCCAGCAGGAGGAGAAGTAAACAGCCAGGTGTGAGCTGTGCTTTCTGCTCCCTCCCTCTCTCCCTCCCTCCCTCCCTAGTATGACCAGCCCCTGAACTTAGCAAGCCCGCTCCTGTCCTGGCTGGCACTGCAGAGACTGGTTGGGGTTCCTCATCTTGCCTTTCAAGACACAGGGAGGAGAGGCTGAGCAGAGGCCGAGTTCCTGCCCACTCGCCTGCCTTGCCCATTCCTTCACCGCTGGGAATGCCACGTGCCTGAGGGAGGCCCTTCCAGGTCTCTCAGGACTGCCTGGTGTGGGGGAGATGTCAGTGTGGCTTCAGAGTTAGCCCTCTGTGGGGCGTAGGACCTTGTCTGAGGATGGACCCTGATCAGCTAGGGCAGCCCAGCTCCCCGCCCTCCCCTCCCCTCCTCCTGGAGGTAAGTGGAGGCTGGGAAGCCCCCGACAGGAAATGAGATCCAGGAAACCTCAGTCAATAACATGGGGAGAGGCAGAGTCTGAGGGTGAGGAATGGGACATGCCTGAACCCAATACTGACAAGATGGGACCATCCCTTGCTGCCGCTGCCAGTAACTCCTACGGCTTCCATCTTCTGGGTCTCTCCCCAGAGTCTGGCGGGCTGGCTCTTCCCAGAAGTTCTGCACAGGATGCTTCATTCCTGGATCTAGAGCCTAAAGTGGGCCATACCCTCCCCCGGGGAAGGATGACAAGGATGAGTGATAGTAGACAGCCTACTGGGACTGTCACCAGAGGAGGGAAAGGTCAACATCTCCATGTTCTGGTTTAGATGGTTCTGACCCCAGGAACCCCCAGCTAAGACTCCCAGGTCATAGCAGCACTTTTGTCATAAGACAAAAGGAAAAAAAGGGTGGATGTTTCCCAGGAACTTCATCCTTTAGAAAATTCCCCTCTAGCTAATGCCAAGGGGAGAGGCTATGGCCTGGGTAATTTATGCTGAAAAAGGCAGGAAAGGGGGAGGGAGAGGCTCTCCCGGGAAGCCACTTGCTCTGGCCAGAACATCATGGTTTCTCCCACCTCAGGTCATGACCAAGAATCCAGCCTTGCCCTGGGCAAGTCTTCAAACCAAGCCCTTTTCCTGGAGGCTGCCAGAGAGGGTGGGGATGGCAGATCTTGCCATTGGCAGGAGGACCCTGTGGGAGCAGGTCCAGCCAGGCTTTGGGGCAGCTGTTGTGGTGGGGAAGAACCAAGGCTGACCGAGGAACACCTGCTGGGAAGGACCAAGACAAATTCAAAGGACATGGCTCAACCAGCCAGGCTCCTGGGGCCCAGAGGCTCCCCTAACAGGTGTCCTTGCCTCTCACTTAGGAAGCTGGCCCTGAATGCCTGCTGCTGGGCTTCCTGCCTGGCACCCCAAGACCCCAGAGCAGCCTCTTTTGTTTTTGCCTCTCCATGCTCACAGGCTCTGGGTGGTGCCACCCTGGACACATGCATTCAGCTCCAATCTGCCTGGGCTGCTGTCAGCCCAGTCTTAAGAGCCTGGAGGTCCAGCTCAGTCAGACGACTGACCCCAGGA